TGGTCCTCTGGTCGCCTCTTGCCATCCAGAAACAGATGAACCAGAGTCTCTGAGTCTGTTCTTCTCCATTCCACCTCCAGATCCTCCATTAGTAAGAGTTCATCAACATAACAGAGCAAAACCACTGAAGATCCCAGAGGAGCAACCAGAGGGCCAGCGGAACTGCGAACAATCAACCCTGAAAATAAACAGAAACGGATTAAATAAAGATTTTGAAACAATAAAATGTTCCAAGGAACAGTAAAAGCCTTTAATGAGCTGGGCTAAGTCATTAAAACATTAAATAGGTTGATCACTGTGTTTTTGCTTGACACAGCCTGACTCAGCCCAGTTCATTATAGGCTTTTTACACTAACCACGTGAGTGTCCTGAAATATTTTGTTGTTTCATTTTACATTTACCTCTCAAGTAGGGGTGTGGATATGATGATTTTTGATCGTGGACGATTAAAATGTCTCCACGATCTGCTTTTGAAGAAATATAGCTACAGCACACATTCTATCAGTTACAGTTCTGACGCCTCTGTCTCAATATACTGTACAACACGACATACATTCACATCAAATAATTAAGCGGTAGTTACACTCATGGGACACTGCACTAATTTGCAATCATTAAGCATTTCATTCGCCTGCTGTTCTGACATGCGCTTTTTCTGAGCGTGTACACCTGAAGCGTGTGCACACAAAAAAGCGGTCAAACAGCGCTTGATTACTGGACTAAGTTTTCTTTCGCGTCTTATTGTGCTAATACTGTTAAAACACAAAAATAATACATATAAACACAGTTAGTTATGTCTAAAGTGAAAGTAAACAGTTGAGAGAAAAACAGATGCGTGCCTGTATCTTAGGCTGCCTTCATGCCATGTTGTAATTACCATAATTCCGAGATGACAACATGTGACATTCTACTCTGAGCTGAATAATGTGTTTCTATGGCAACACCATCAACACCAAAGCCTTCACGTGCTCCAGAACTTGTAATTACAATTTGTAAGCTCGGAATGTTCTGAGAGCTACTTGGACTATGTGATAGTTGTACTGCCTGGTTAATTTAGGTGCTACTTAAGCGCCAACTCAGAGTCCGAGGACATGGAAAGCTCTGAGTAAAATGTCACATGTCATCATCTCGGAATTACGGCAATTACGACATGGCGTGAACGCAGCATAAGATGCGTGTAGGTCTTAAAGTGACAGCAGACTAATAGTACTAAACATGCTGCCGTCAATAAAGGGATAGTTCACCCCAAAATGTAAATCATATCATTATTTACTCATTCTCATGTTGTCCCAAACCTGTATTAATTTCTTTCTTGTGCTGAACACAAAAGAAGATATTTTGGGTAACCAAACAGTTGCTGGTCCCCATTAACTTTGATAGAAGGGGAAAAAAATACTATGGAAGTCACTGGGGACCAGCAACTGTTTGGTTACCCACATTCTTCAAAATAACTTATGTTCAACAGAAAAAAGAAACCTATTCAGGTTTAAAACTTGAGAGTGAATAAATGATGACAGAATTTTCATTCTTGGGTGAACTATTCATTTAATGTTAATAAAACAACAAAACACAAAGAGAAAAAAACACTCACTGCTCTTGACTGAAGAACTTTAATACAGTTGCTTTAATAAGAATCACTGTATAATTTATACAGTGAAGTGTATATAGTGTTTTATTTTTATATTTGACCATTTAATTTCTTAAATGCTACTGCTAAATACACCCTTGTGCTGAAC